GACCTTTGCTACAGAACCTGCAGTTCTGACACTGTCTACAAGAGATGCAATGTACAGTTTTATTTTTATTGAACTTTCAATGTAGAATTTTGCCACCTCTTTCTTATGCCATTTAGCATATTAAATGTTCAGGCTTGTTTTTTATAGCACTCCTTTATTGTGATTAATCAGATTTGGCTTGGAGTGAATGCGCAGTAAAACAGCTCATATTGATCAACACACCATTCGCACTTTTTCAGGAGGAAAAAAAAAAATCTTTGACCCCACCCCCTTTTCCGCCTAACAAAAACACACAAAAAGTGACAGTAACATAGTTAAACTTCAGGCACCTAAAACTGCCAACTGTTGCCTTTGTTATTCCACTTTTGCGGCGAAGGCAAAAGGACTGTGGGGGTGAGGATTTTTGTTTTGACCTCAACATAAAACAATCGGCAAACTTATCCTATTCGAACACGGGTCTCCTACGTGAGAGCGCTGAGTTCTAACCTTTAGACCAGTTCCGCTCCCACTTCAAGAACCTAATTTGGTATTGTCGTCTGGGATGATGATGAGTTATGAGTTAGATTATCTTCACGGCACTCCGGACACATTCATAGGTGCTCAGATTCCCCTCTCAACATATTCATCAGCACCTTTTTCCACGCCTTTAGGCGTATAGGGCATATAGGGCTAGACTTATATTTTTAAAGACTTATCAGCACAAGATGACAGGTGTGGTCAGCATCACGCCGGCCGCCTTTACTTCCCGGGACTGCACCCGGTACCGACTCAAGGCTGGGTCGACCTGGGAGCCAAGGTCATTTTTGAAAAAAGAGTATTTATGTACTTCTGTTTAATGACCTGTTGTAGCAATGAATTAGGGCTACCTTGAACGACCCAGTGTTCAAATAATTTGTGATGTCTTCTTTCTCTTCTTGCGTTCGCTTTTGATTTATACTGACAGCCAAGTTCTTGTCATAAACTTGACTAGTTGTCTAGGAGTTCTTCTTTTAGTCCCATACAACTAGGAATGCAGTGTTGACTCATTGCCCAGTATTCTCTTCTTAATTGGTTGTGCAAGGAACATTCTTGCAGGACATGTTCTGTAGTCTGCACACGCAGCCCACATGGGCGCAGTTGGTGAACTACTTAGACGAAGCCTGTGCATATGCTTGCCAAGTTTGATAGACTCTCCCTGGGGTGTAGAATAATGACCTGCCCATGTCGGTCAAGTAAGTGGTACTCATCTCTGGCCGGATTTTGTTCACTTCTGATAGACTGGATGGCTCTTCTCTTCTCATAGTATAAGTAAAAGTAAATGACCCTTTTCAACGCCTTTTAAGACGTATTGGGTATATAGGGCTAGACCTAAGTTGTGTTGACCAAACGGCACTCAGTGGGCATCACACTGACCGCCTTTACTTCCTATGACTGTCCCTGGTACCCACTCAAGGCTGGGTCGACCTGGTAGCCAAGGTCACTTTTGGAGAGAAAACAAAAGTCCGGTCCGCCTCTGATAGTATGTGACTGTGATGTGTGATGTGTGATGCGTGATGTGTGATGTCTGATGCGTGATGTGTGATGTGTGATGCGTGATGTGTGATGTGATTGTAATGAATGCTCTAACGTAGTGACATAATATGTAAACGATTAATCGTCGTGAATAACGCATGATTTGTTAATTTGTGATAAGCTTGTTTGATCTCATAAAGTATTAATTGGTGATTTTATTGAATGGCCCAGTAGAGTGATATACATGTGATTGTCGTCGGTAATATGAAATAATAAAAAATATGTGACTCTCTTGTGTGATGTAATATAGTGATAAGTGTGTGATTTTATTGATGGTGTAAAATAGTGACACGTCTTATCCTTTTCAGTGGTGTAATATAGCATGTAATTTAGTGATAAACTGGTGGTTTATTTGATGATGTAATGCAATGGCAATTGTGCAGTTATCTTTGGTGATGTAACATAGTCATAAATAGTGATAAATGTGTGATTGTGTTCGTATGTGATAGAATTATGATAATGTGATTGTCTAGGGAAAATTTAAAACAGAGACAAATATGTGATTTTCCTCGGTCATGTAATATAGTTATGAACGTGTGATTGTATTCAAGATGTAATTTAGTGATAAATCTGTGATAGTTTTCGGTAATACATTGAGAGAGAGATATGAAATTAGGACCTAACACATTACTGTGTGATTGTCCTGAAGCACTTTACGAAGTTTAAACCGTTTGATTTATTGTAATAACTTAAATGAGTATTATTGTACGACTGTCGAGAGCGATCTGTGACGTATGTCAATCTTCCATCTGTCATAATGCACAAATGTAAATGTTATTTTCTGTATAAGAAGTATATAATTGTTGTTTTCTTATCCATACATCGTTACTGGTAACTAACAGATAATTACTAAACTGTTGACGAAAAAGAGTAGGCGGGGATGGGGAAAGGGGAAAGGGGGGGGGGGGGGGGGGGGGGGGGGACACCTAACATCGGAAAAACCCAACCACGTTAGACGACATATTAATTTGTAACCTTTTTGTGGTGCCCCATTATAACTGTCCTTATAGGCTATACGGTTGAAAGGAGTTTCCCGGATTTTTACCTGTTTGGTTCCTTGAGATGTAATCTTACAGATTTAAATCCTGGAAATAAAAGTGAATAATTCTCGTATAAAATTCTAAAACTATTCCGTACAGATGCAGAATTGTTATTTCAATATTTTTTCATTCCAATCGGACCAATAATTATTGTTAGTTTACTACACTCTGCTTTCAATTTCAATGCACGTTTTAAGTGATCAAATAATTCTCGGTTTATTCCCCCCAACTTGCATTCACAATTATTGTGTATTTATGACGTTTGCAACTGAGAAATCAACAATCGTCATGTCATGTGTGCGTTGCTTGGATACTGGGACCAATTATATTTAAGCATAGTTTATTATTGCAAATGAAATATGAAGAAGTCACATTTGAATGTATACATTTCCAAATGATAAGTCCAGAATTATCGTGTAAATAGTGTGTGTGTTTTTAAAGCTGACCTAAGATTAATTGTACAATGGTTGTCTGCACAAAGAGGGAGTCAAGTTGTGTCATCAAATATTACGGATGGCTAAAGCATGTTGGTATTAAATTGTTATCTCATTAAATATGGTATTACAAACTTTCTGTGGTATATTACATTTATTTATTTAATTCACACTTATATCAATTACCACAATGACTACCGTAGTGAGTCAAATTGTGTAGCTCCAAAAACAGGTTTTGGAAAATTGATTTGTTGTTAATGTATGTATATCTCTTGAATTATATAAACAACTAAAATTGCTGCTGTAAGTCACATTTTGGGGTTTTTCAAATGCACAGATTTGAATATTTAAAGTTTACCGTGAGAGCAGCTTGCTGGCTGAGTGGTTAACAGATTATATTACTGTTCTACTTGTGAGAGACACGGTTCAAATCCTAGGTGATGGATGAGTAGTTTTTCTTTTGGGACCAAAGATTTAAAAGATCCTAACCTGCAAAGTTCGTGGCGACTGAAGTGGTGATGGGTGTTCGGCCAGCCGCCCTCCCCTCCCCACTCCTAGTTCTACAACTCCCTAAGAGCGATATTTACAGGCAGTGTTTTTGTTACCTCTTTCATTACCAGGTAGCTGCTACTGCAGAGCTTTGTCAGAGGGTCTTGCATGCACAATGCCAGCTTTGGTTATGAACTACTTACGTCAACAGCGAGCTGCAATTCTGGTGGGAGACTGTTAGTGTTGGCACATCTTACAGCTGCCGCGTGTATTTACTTTGCATATGCGAGTTTCACGATTTTCTTGGGACTGAGATATTTTTCACTGTTTTTCTCCTAATGGGACAGTGAGGGATATTCTATGTGACTTCTGCTGGCACCGGAACAGAGCTGTTATGGGAAGACGCGTCTGCAGAGAAGCTAGGACCTTGACTGACGACTGAAAACGAACCAGCGACTAGACTAGCTAGCGACTACTAGTGACAAACGACTAACTAGCTACTAGCTACTAATTAGCGACCAATTAGCGACTAGCAACTAATCTCAGAACTTGTATATTTTATAGAAGCAGGCTTTGGGTCTCAGTGAAATGGTTAAAATACAATACAGGATGGAGTAAAGTGAATCTGTGCGGCAGAAAGGATCAACACAATACTTGAACCCCCCCCCCCCCCCCCCCCCCCCCTCCCCGGCATGTTTGTAAGCTACTATTAGGTCACATTTTAATGAAAACTTAAGCAGTTATGACGAGATCGAAAATGAAAATGAGTTTTTGCACAAGAAACAAGTAAATTTTTTAACCCCCCCCCTCCCCCCCCCCCCCCCCCCCCCCCCCCCCCCCCCCCCCCCCCCCCCCCCCCCCCCCGACCTAAAAAAGACAGCTTTCTTATAAAGAAAAACGTTGAAAGGGTTAGAAGTAGACAGCGATACAAATGGGTGACCATCATCAAAGGATGGACGAACATCAAGTCTCAGAGATTACAACTTGGGCGGGAGACATTGTGTATTGGAACTCATTTACGACCCACTTTGACTGAGAAGAAGGCGCGTGATGGGTAAGAAATTCTAAGAAATCCCATTTAAGACTGTCATATAAAGTAATGAAAGCAGAAAAGGATCTAAAATGTAATGTTCAGAATTGCACGTTTTGTCTTTCATGTGTATATATTGAATTCAGTGTACATTTTTTTTTCAAGTATCTTATACACGAATGTAATCCTAGTTCATTCTTTCTATGCTTTTATATTGTTATTATTCGTGTTTAATTTGTTTACTACCTTATTCGAATGCTCTGTAGCCCTTTTAAACCTTTCAACCACCTGCCTCATCCCATCAAACTCTACATCTCCACAATTCAGTTCTTGCCTACATCCTAGGGGACTTGTTTTCGCGAACATTCTGTAGAATGATTGTCTGTGTATCCTGGGTAGACTTGATTTATGAACATTCTATAGAATGATCGTCTGTTTATTCTAGGGGGACTTGAT